ATTCATTTGAACTAGGTGATCTGAACTCATCGGGGGGCAGTTAGATACCCTCTTAGCACAGTACTACATACTTATTTTTAGCACCAACTTCCCATCTGCCATTTTTGTACTGTCCTTTCTAGTTCAAAGATCATTCTCTTGGGAAGAGAAAACAGAAAGAAAATAACAGTTGAGCTGCTCTGCCTATTCTCTGTCATCAGTTATCACCATCCCATCCACTCTGGTCTTTTTGTTATTCTTAGCTTTTCTTGCCAGGCTCAACTCATTCCAAGCTTTAGCACTTCAGTCATTCTTCTTTTAGGATTATCTTATGTTTTTACATTCATTCCTTGTTACTGTAAAAAATGATTCTCAGAGCTTCCCCTCAGGCCCTCCCCCTTCTTTAAAGTTCTTAAGAAGGACATTACTGATAATGAGATTGCCTTGGAAGCTGCTCAGGCTTGGGTGAAGACAGATTCTTCTGCCTAGATAGCCCAAGGTTGGGAATGGCCTGGTATGGGTGTGTGTGTGGGGGGGGTGATCTGATAGAACAGGTATTTCCTCTGTCAGGAGGTAGAATGATGGTGGGGTGATATCAGCCCCTGTTGAAAAGCCATATAACCTGGGCACCCCAACTATCAAATCGAGCCAGTTCTGGACTGTAACTCCCATGCAATGCATGTTGCCACCATGACAGAAATTAAAACATGGACACACAACCTATTTCATTTGTTTTTCTTAGAACAAACTGTTTTTGTGGTTGACATTATCTAACTCTACATCTATCTTTTGGACATCTCTTTTAAAAATCTAATTTGGTTGGTGAGGACAACTCCCCTCATTCCTCCTCAGAATTGTGTTTACTGTGTTGTGAAGATCAAGTGAAATAATGGATATAACACAACTCATCAAATCTATGCTATAATCAGTATGAATAAACAAACTGGTCCACTGGAGGGACCCTTCCATTCCTTTCACCATTTTAGAATCCGGTAGAGTCAAGTTCCCAGAAGAACTTTTCAGTTTGAGTTTGCCTATCGCGATCATTTAGGACAGTGTTTAGGAGACAGGGAGAAGAGGAAAGGAAGGGGTAGGGAATGAGTGAACTTGCAATTATTATTTCCTTTCATTTAAGTTTTTTTTTTCTTCTGAAAGGTGGATATTTCTCAAAGAGCCAAATAAGAACTAGGAACAGATTTCTTTTGTGCATAAACAGAAGGCCCCAGACATGGGCTGATCAGCAATTTCCCCTTTTTCAAGAATAAACTTCCCTGCCTTATCCTATCATTGTTTATAGAAACAAAGGGAAAATCTGAATTTCTAAAGGGAGCTACTGCTCCCCACTCAGTGGGGCACTGAGAACAATATTCAGGCCTGCAAATCTTTGAGAAAAAAAATAAACTGAAAGAATACTTCCCTGGCAGCTGTCTTCACTTGGTCTATTTCCTAGCAGCTGAGAGAATGAATACAGATGAAACCGTTTCATTGGAGAAAATTGCTTCAACCAGGTTTTCCATCTTTGTTGGTTCTTGAATAATGCTAACACAGGGGTCATTCAACATCTCAGTCCTGTCTTCATTACTGTCCATCCATAAGCCATAGAGTACCATGGACAATATCTTTAAACTTTGTTGAAATCAATGCATTTCATGTCCTGAGACACTTTAGGGTGTTTTTGATGTTAGCAGTGGTAGAGATATGGGGTGTGTGTGTGTGTGTTTGTGTGTGTGTGTGTGTGTGTGTGTGTGTGTGTGTGTGTGTTTGCTAGCTAGGATCTGAGCCTGATACATGTTAACTGGTTAACATAGATGGTTTGCAATAAATTCTACACAAAGTCAGAACAAAATGGACAGAGAAAGATCCAGGCTTGAAGAGAGCCTAAATCCTTCTTCAGGACCACTTGTCAGAGTACTTTGGGCTAAGGTAACCTCTAACTCATTTGAATTCCTATAGTACAAAATCACAGCACTACAACAGAACCTTAAAACTTCGAATATTAGAATATATGTCAGAGGTTGAAGGGACTTTGGAACTGTAGAATACAGAATGTTAGAGCTAGAAAGGGCTTGAGAAAATAGCAGAACACAGAATGTTGGAGGAAGAGAACATATGATAGCTAGAAGAAACTTCCAAATCTAGTCTTCAGATATGACCTAGTCCAACTCACTCATTTTAAATTTAAATATTAAATTTAAATATTTTCTGTACCATTCATTTGTGAAATAATTACTTTTTCCCTTGTTACAGCTCTTGCTTCCCTGGACTGACAATCAATGTTTGCCAAGGGTCTAAGATGTACAAGACTTAGATGCTGGACATACAAAGACAAATATATTCCTGTCCTCAAGGAGCTTACATTCTACCAGGGAAGCCAATGTGCACTAAAAAGTATGATACAAGATCATTTGTGGAGGGAGAATTAGAAAAGGCTCCATAGAGGAAGTAATGTCTGAACTGAGCCTTGAAAGAAGACAGATTCTACGACGGAGAGATGAAGAACCAGTGTGTTCCATAGTTGGCTATCTCTTCTATTGGCATTTAATTTCTTACATGTTTCTATCTCCCTTCCCCAATTAGACTGTAAGCTCTATGAAGCCATAGACCACGTTCTCACAGTCCCTTGAGTCCTTCATAATTACTGTAGTAGTGGGGATGTGGCAGATGATATCTGTAGACAAATTGATTACAGAAAAGTGAGAGTTTTTCTAATTGGATCCAGATTGAGAGTGACATGTTTCCATGTTGATACAATGAAGACAGAAAGGGACTGACCCAAGGGTGATATTATTTTAGTTCAATATTATTTTAAGCCTGTAGGATTATCGGGCTATTAAATCCTCATCTGGTGCCTCATCATGGTGTAGACACGACCCTGGGTTCACAAATGCTTTGCCAGCAGAGCAGAAGGTTGGTCCTGCTTTGCCAAACTCTAAAGGCTTTGAGCATAGCCCTGACAACAGACATCATTCACTGTCCAAAGATTATCTCGGCTAAAGATACAGAGAAGCTCATTGCCAGCAAACTGACCACTCGGTTATGCATTCTTTGTCCATCATGACTCATTAAGGGAGGGGAAAAAAGCTATTTTTGTCCCCATACTGCACACACAGAGTTGTTAAGGGAGTTCTGATATTACCTGGTCCAACCGCTTCATTTAACAGATGAGGGAAGTAAGGCCCATGAAGAATTGACTTATCCAAGGTCACACAGCTCATTAGTGACTGAACCAGGGCTTGAACCCAGTTCCACACACTACCATACTTCCTGATCTCAGTTCCATACACTTGCAAAATGGAAAAATCCAGTCAGGGACAATGTATGCAAAAGAACTTTGACAAAGTATGACATGCTATACAAATATAGATGGTACTATCATCACCCTCATTAAAATAATAGACTCCAGCTGGGGGACCTACAATCTCTTATCTCCTGTCTCGTTACTCAGTGTACAGAAATAAGAAGTCCCGCCCTCAGTCAGTCACAGAAAGGGTTTAAGTCAGTAACCTTTCTTGCCCTATTCATGTCTACAGCCTACTATCCCCGACTAGTTAAGTAAAAATAGGTTCTAAGAGATCCTCAGAAAGCCTTGAAACTGTAGAAAGAAATTTATTGTGGGAACAGGATTAATTAATGAAAAGGATCAGACCTCCACCCTACTTTCATTCCGACTTGGCCAAAATGTACTATATCACTTCAACAGGAAAGCTGGAGAAGACACTTGGGAAAAATGTATCTGGATTCCCTGGAGGATGACACACCACACTTGTAAAATCTTCTGAAGCAGAGGTCTTGGAGCTTGATTACTGTTAGGAGGTTTTAAGCGGCTTTAAGCTGAAGATAATTCATGTGTTTAAAGCCCCACATTTATTACTTCTTGGCAGCAGCTTCTGCACAGAGGTTAACCCCGGTCAGTGAGGGAAGGAAGCAAATAAAAGAAGGGTTCCAGTGGCAGTCCCCATCTAGCCCCTGCCCTCAGCTCCAATTCCTCTGCTATGCTGGAAAGGGGCCATCTTGAACCCCTCTCTGTCCCCAACATGGAGCAACAATGGCAACACAAGAAAGACTTTTAACAACATATAATTCCCCCACCTCTCCCCCTACCCCTATTTTGTATAGATAAGGGAACTGAAACACCAAGAAACTAACTGACTTGCCTAAGGTCATACAGTTAGTAGCAGAGAAGGGACTAAAACCCAGGTCTCTGGTAGAAAGGAAACTAGACTTGGAGTCAGAAGTATTCCAAGAAGGCTCTACAACTTACTGCTACATCACCTCGGGCAAACACTTTATCCTTTCTGGGCCTCAGTTTCTCCCATCTACACAACAAGAAAATTAGAAGAGGTGAGCTTTAAAGTCTCTTTTAACTTTAAATCTATGACCCCTTCCCACTCATCCCCAGCTCCAAGTTCAGAGATTTTTTTCTTCCATACTAGATTCCTTTTTTAAAAATTATTACTGGAAGTGAATGGAATGGTGGAGGGAATGTGTATGGGGAGGGTCACACCTGGATTCCCTTACCCCATGCCTCCGTCCAGGAATTGGGGCATACCTCAGACAGCTATTTTCCCAATCTACTGCTCAGTCCCTTCTACCCCCAGCTTCCTGTGATTCTCCCCTTGGTCACTGCTGGTGCTTCCTGAATCACACCCACCATATGCTCTTGGAAGATTTAGTTTGTGGGCCCTCTGGGACAACAAACTCAGTCATATCATGATCTGTAGGGGATCTCCTGTCTCCAAAGAGGTGTGACCAGACTCCCAGGCTAACTTCTGGCCTCAAGGAGCTGCTGACCTCACACCTCTGAAGACTGTCAGGCCCTCTGAATTCTTTGGGCGAAAAATGATATTTCTGGAGTCTGACTCGCAGCCATGATTCCAGGCTGTTTTCATCCCTGGGTTTTGTTCCCTGGAGGTCATTATCTCAGCCTTTCCGAACATGGGCTGTCAGATATTTTTGTGTTCTCTGCTTGGTGGAGTAAGGGTTCACATTCTTATAGTTATGTTTTTTTGGCTGCCCCTTACCTCTGGGGTGAGGTATTTCATCACGATTTCCTTCCCTTTCTCTCCCAGTTTTTCATCTGGTGTAATTTCATACTCTGCCTGGAACAGAAAGAGAAAAAAATCAATATTTTTGGCTCACATACTTCATAGAAGCATAGGATGTTAGATCTGGAAGGGACCTTAGAGGTCAGTCATCTTATCCAACTCCGTTTGTTCTATAGATGAGGAAACTGAGGCATATGGGGAGGCAGCTTTCCCAAGATCACATAGGCAAGTAGTGGTAAAACCAGGCTTAGGACTAACGGTGTGCTGGAGCCAGCTCGTATAAGGCTCTCAAAAGCAAATTATTAAAATTTTACTTCTGAGCATTTACACCAAAGAAATACATAAACACTACAAATCAGACTTTATTGTTTGGTTGATATCTATACTTAAGAAAGTGATAGAGAAAATGTTAATAATGGGTTCATTTTTTAGAAAGCTGGTTGTTGAATAATTATCGATACACTACTGCTTAGAACCCAGGTCTTCTGGCTCCCAGACACTGATATCATGAATGCATATTACTTAAAACTCTTCCACAAGAGAAAGGGGGAGCCTAACATTTGGGGAGGGAGGCCAGGACAATGGCCCATGTAAGGAAAATTCCATAATCCAAATATTCCAGGTTCACAAGAATGGGACTGAAATCCAAAAGAAGACACGGCCTCCTCTGAGGTTCATTCTCCTTGATCCAAGACGGTCTTATTCCCTCATACCTTAGACGTTTGCCAAGGGGAAAAAAAAATTTAAGAAAATGAGAAGCTTCAGCCGAGCTGAGCTTTTGCAATGGCTTCTTTGCTATGTGCTGGATGAGGGAATTACAAATTGTTTATAGCTATTAAAAGAAACCCTACCACCCAAGGCCATGTACTTATTCTGTTAGACACAGTCCAAAGCATTGCTATTTAAAAGAAGGTAGGAGGAAATGATCTCAGCAGCAAAGATGGACTGAAGTGCCTTCTCCAAGCATTCCCCTGTGGGCTTTTTATCCCTCCCTCCACTCCTTCATTCCTTTTTCAAGATAATCTCCCAATTCTATCCCCTTCTTAGTAAAGGTTTTTTCCCACTCCAGTTCAGTATGCCCTCTTGGAAAACAGATGATTTGGGAAGCCTGTGAATTTTCCTGCAAATTGGTCAACAACATTAAGAAGTATATTTCCCCATATTTGGTGATCTTAGCCACAGGAGTTAGTCAAGATTGAACTATATTCTTTAACATGAGAGATGGACGTGAAAAGGGAGGAGGGAAAGAACGTGATATTGTGAATTCAAAATCAGGGTAAAGTTGTGGGAAGAGTATTAGATTTGGAATCAAGAGAGCCGGGATTGAATCCTAGCTTCTCAGGGCTTCATTTTCTTTCTCTGTAAAGTAAGAGAATTGGAGTGGATGATTGGACTCTCTGATTCTATCTCTGCCCAGAGACCAAACAAGTATTTATGGCTAATGAGCTAGTCATTTACTAGGTGGAGCTTATAGCATTGGTACTTTTAATTGTTTCCAGAGGGCAGAAATTGGTCTGCTTTTCCCTGATATTTCATTCTCCTTTTGACTCTTCTCCACTTGATTCCCTCTTCTTCCCTACCAAATGGACCGGTCACACACACACACACACACACACACACACACACACCACACACACACACACACACACATACACACACACACACACACACACACACACACACATTCATGCCAATAAAATGGGAGGTGTTGGAGCTATTGCCTCATGACCTAAAGGGTCCTTGGCCCTTTTTTTGCATTTTTCCAGGATAAGAGAAGGAAAAACAGTGGCCTCCAGAAACTTGTGAAAGGAATTGGGTTTACCTTGTGAAATTTGGTAGTGATTTGTTGATTGAGATCAATAATTTTGATTTTTGAGACAATGGGAAGACTGAACCAGTTGTATATCCTGGTTTTCATTTGATTGCAGGGGTTAGGGATAATATCTAGTTCTTAGTTGACTGAAAGTAATCCAGGGATGTTCAGTAGAATGGGCTCTCACTTGTGTGCCCAAGTGGGTGAACCTCTCAAACAGCATGGGGGTATTCTGAGAGCAAAGACATAATTTTCATCTCAAGGCCACAAGGAAGCAAGTTATTCTAAACAAATAGCAAATCACCGTCAAGCTAGGCTGGGCAGCAACAGCAGAGTTCACTAGTTTAATTATCTAGATATTCCGAACCTTTTAAATGCATTTCAAATTACCCTATCCTGGGACAGTATATCTTAATTTCTATATTCTCTTTTCCTTCATAAATAAGACCTAGAAAATGCACTTTTATGGTTTGAAGTATATAGAGATAGGGAATGGGAAAGAAAGAAGGAAGTGTATGCTGGAAATGCACTAAGATACCATGTGGCAATGGCAGAAAAAGAGGACAGGTAATTTGGGAATTATTGCAGATATATGAATGAAGGGAGTAGTATAGACCCAGGGATCCAGAAGCCCAACGCCTCCAATTCAACAAAGAAGTCTGAAAAAAAAAACAGCAGAAGGTGAAAGCCTTCAGGTCAATATATCTTGCACATACCTGGAAGTCTGCTTGTTGTCTCCCTTCTCAGAATATAAACCACCTAAGGGCAGAGACTGTTTTTTGCTTTTTTTGGTATCCCCAGCACTTAGCACAATGAATCAGCTTCTGAATCAACTCTCGAAAGGAAGAACTGGTACCCCAGGAAACTGATGAGGATCAGCTAGGCCTAAGGTGTGGCGGGGCTGGATTCTTTATACCCTACCTAGTGGCACGGCACCATAGGAACTTCCCCAGCCTACTCAGAAATACGTATTGGAACTTAGCTACTGGGCAGCTGTTTGAATATCATCTAGGGCAACTCAGCCCTGCTTGGAATATTGGATGTTCACTATCTTAAAATATCTCTCAAGACCCTTCAACTAAATATAAGTGTGAGGGTCACTGATCAATTTCAATAACTGTCTAAAAATGTTAGTCCTCTGGGTGTGAAACCAAAACCAAATATTTCCTTCAGGTCAGTCACCTCCCAGAGAAAGATCAGCTGAGCAAACCAGCCCTAGTTCCAAAGGGGAAGGAATTGGGAGCACATTGGGACACAGAACACCAACTCTAACATCAAAAGGCCTTTCTTTTCTTTTCATTCAGAGTCCACGTCAGGTCAACAACACTGGAAGAACATTTGCATTGGAAGTGTCAATGGTTTCCAGCTCTGTTTTGTAAGTCACTGATGACCAAACCTGTGTCCAATAGGAAGAATTGAAAGAGGACAGACAGAAAGGGGAAAGAAAAAGGTGGAAGACTAGGCCTGCAGTAGAAACTGTGAAGATGCAGGGTAGGGAATGAGCCAGGCTCTGGGAACAGGAGTAAAAAGTGTGTTTGACTGAAATGAAGCACCCCTTCTCAGGTAAGGGGCTGATGTTTCTGCCTAATGCCTTCAAGGCCCATATTTAACCAGTAAATGACAGGATATTCTAACAGTCTACAATTACAATTAGAGTTAGCCCTGGCAAACAGTTGTAAGACAATGACCTCAATTAAAGAGACATAAGCTGTATACATGAAATGCTCCCATAATTATACTCTGTCATGTGGTGCTTTTCTATAAGCAGAGTGGAAAGGAATCTCACCAACTCCTTCAAGACATAAAAGGAAAGGCACTGAAACACAGCAGATAAACAGCTGGCTTTGGAGTTAGAAAGATCGGATTTAGTCCCACCTTTGACTCATATAAGCTGTGCCGCTTTGGGCAAGTAACGTCTAAGTGTCCTCCAGACAACTCCAAAACTATTTGTTGTAGAGTAAAAGGAGGTTCCTCACCTGGAGCTCTTGAAAGAAATCACAGGTTGGCTTTTTATTTTTTATAGAAATAATGGGTTGGGATGAAAGGTTGAAAGTAATTCCTTTACCTAATTTTCTGTTAAAATCCTGCACGGAAGATGTTTAACCCTTAACAAACCTGAGGCAGTGTGCTATATACTAAAAGTCTTTGACATTTATTATGTGTGATTTTGGGCAAGTCACTTCCTCTCTTTTGGCCTCAGTTTCCTCATCTGTAAAATGAAGTAGCTGGACTAAAATATCTCTAAAGTTCTTTCCAGGTCTAACATTCTATATTCAGCAGAGTATCACATTAAGTATATTTTCTTTCAAAAAAATCGCCTATTGAACATTCAGGTCTGACATTTATAAGCTATGTACTCTTTGGGAAGTTACTTGAGAGTAATCATCCTTTCATAACTTACCTCATAGGACGGTTGTAAAGGAAAGGCTTTTTAAATCTCAAAGTGATATATATATATATATATATATATATATATATATATATACACATATATATGTATATATATATGTATGTATGTATAGATGTGTGTGTGTGTGTTGTTATAACAATAGCTAGCATTTCTATATTGCTTTAAAGTTTGCAAAGAGCTTTACAAACATTATCTCAGTTTATCCTCACAATAACCCTAGGAGGTATTATGTGCTACTATCCCCATTTTACAGATGATAAAACTGAGGCAGACAGCTGTTAAATGATTTGCCCAGGGTCACACAACTAGTCAATATCTAAGACAGAATTTGAATTCTGGTATTCCTGACTCCAGGTCCATTGCTTTATCCAACAGGCCACCTCACTGCTTTGATTACTACTAGTATATTCAAGATCTTGTGTAAGGATTGGCTCGAGATACAAAGATGAATGCAATCTCTGCCCTTAGGGAGCTTACAGTCTAATAGTGAGAATAAGATAGGCACAGAAATAACTCTACAATAACATGAAGTACCACTAATTAATTACCTGGAGACAGCTAGTTGGAAATTTTTCTTCCCTTTCTCTGTCCATCCCCTCTTCCCATCCCCCCTACTTCTCCAATCGAAAATGAAGCTGTGAATGAAATGAGGTAACTTAAAACTGTTCTAAGTTCTCTTATCTTGGCCTTTTACAACATATAGTCAACCCAAGAATAGCCTTGGGGTGGGAAGGGAGGAGGGGGCAGGAGGTGATGCTATTCTAAAATAAGAAGTGAAATACAAAAAAGCTAGAGAAAAGGAAAAAGCCTTTTTAAATTATTTATGTATAC